CATATTAAAGCAGTTTGAGTATTATTAAAGTTAAATCATTATATGCATCTCTTAAAAAATAAGCACATATTTTTATAATAATTCTTATATTTCACTAAATATAAAAGTAAATACAATGTTTGTTATGAAAAAATTTAATAATGAATGAGAATAATATTATTTAATGGTGTCAAATAATAACCATATATTATACATGATAAATTAAAAAATTAATCTATATTATGATCTTATTTGAGCCAAATGAAACATTTACACAAGCTTTTTTTAAAATTTATTTCACCATACCTTTAAAATATTTCATCATAATTTTCCTTTATCATTTGAAGAATAATGATGTATATATGAATTTTTTTAAATACCTAAACAATGAATCAAAAAGGAACAAAAATTATTTTTTTTATATTCTAAAATGAATTATCAATTAAATAAATATTTATATAAATCTTAACGATAAATAATTATTCATTCGTACTCTTTATTTTATTATTCTAAAACTTCAGAGTTCTTTTAGCTATAAATGCTTTTTATAATATTACACATACCTTGAATAATGATCAAGTATTTTTTGTCTCTTTAAAAACAAAAATCTTAAATGAGATACCAGAAAAAATAACATTTAAATAATTACTTTATTCATAAAATAATTAAATATATTGTTATTTATTAATATATGTAATTATATTAATATAAAGCATAACATTATTACTAGAAGTATATTATAAATTTTATATATTAATTATAGGTATTACTGTTCAAAATTTATTTATTTCATTATGTTTATATATAAAAATCTATGAAAACTGCTAAACTACTCTAAAAAAATTTTCATTATTAATTTATAAATAAAGAATTTCATATCTTCTTGTATACTAATCTAGAAGTTCTTTACTTATATGAGAATGTACAATGAAGGAAAATATATCATCTTTGCATTAATAACATTATTTTAAAAAATTTTGATCTTATATTCTTTTGAATAATTTTGATATTATTATATATTCTAATACTCTAAACTAAATTTTTCCATACATAAGTGTTTATGTAATTTATATCCGCATTCTATTTTTTTATATAATTATTAGTAATACTATTAAATTCAATAAAAAATAACTCCCTCACTTAATTCTACAAGTATTTATTATGTAATTTTTTTTCATATTTAATTTAATAATTTTCTAAATACATGTATTATAAATATTTTTTCCCTTTATACATAATAAAATTTGTGCATTAACTAGTTTTTTTATATATTTTTAGTTCTAACAATAAACAAAATATATATATTTCTTATTATAGTGTGAAAAATTATCAATGTTCCAATGCGTCGATATATTTTTTTATGGGTATTATTGCATATATATATCAAGAAGTAATGTTAATATCATTGTTTTTATATTTGACGTGAAAATTATTTATTATATTATTATTTAATCTTTTCAGTACAATATTATTTTATGTAATAATACATCATCCAGGTAATTATTATAAATTGAACAGGGTTCTATTTATTTAAGCTACGCTCACAATTACTTTGTGTGGGACTTCTATCTACAGTGAACTAATAAAATTCCATATTCCTTAAAGCGTGTATAAAATTAAATTTCTGTTCTTTTTTAATTGATATATCTAACACTACATCTAGATTATTATTATTTATACTAAATCTCAATATGAAGGGACAAAACAGAAGAATAAATATCATAATATTCATGAAAAAAATAATATCATAACATATTACATTTCTAATGTAGAAAGCATTTAACAATTAAGTGAATATTAAATATAAAATGCATATTTTCTATAATAATTATGTTATTTTATATATCATAACATATTATAAAAACAAAAGAAAAATAATTCTTAAATATAACAATTATAATCATATAAAACATATTCATTTTTTATTAAAATGTATAAATATTTGTTTAATATACTTTTTGTAATACAATAAAAACAAAAATTTTTCCTTAAGGAGAACGATTTTTATATAAAATAAATTCATGTTCTAGGAAATTATTGGAATTTATTTACATGAAATATATATGAGATGTATATTCAACATACACGGTTTAGGATTTAATAGTTATTTAAAAGAATAACATGTTATCTGAATAAAAATTAATATATATAATATTTCGAAAAAGAAAGTTTCAATGTGTATCATATTTTTTACTTATATAATGGAAGATAGGCTCTAAATTTATTTCATTTTACCTACTTTTCGGCTTATTGATAATTTTGAGAAAATATAATATTAATTGTATTAAAAAGGAATAATACAAAAGGATGGATATATATATTTAAAAATATATAAAACTAATTTATTGGAAATATAATCCTTAAATAAAAGTAACTGTAAATCCATTATATTCTATAATATATTATTTAATTGATATACCTTCATGGCTTTGTTAAAGGCTCATAATATATCATAGCATTAAAAATAATTATTAATAAACATAAAAATTGTATACAAGCGGTGTATATATCAAATATAATAGTAAGTGGTTTTCACATATATATGTAATCATATAAACACAATTATAATAAAATAAGCTTGAATCATACAATAAATCTACAAATAATGTATTTTCAAATAATAAATAATGATACATATATAAAATAATATGTATTATTATATGATGTTAAGATATATGTACATATTAAAAATTATATTATATCATTTGTATATCATATCGAAACTTTATTTAATGTGCTTAAATCAGAATTTCAATATAAATATAATCCTGTCAATTATTATAATACAATAATGAATCAATATTTTGCAAAAGTGACAAATATATTACAAATAAACACACCCATAGTAAAGTAGAAATAATAAAATATATATAAATTTCTAAATATATAATATAAATTCTAAATCTTGAACATTAATTATTAAGTAAAATATATCTTATATTTAATATATGATAAATATATATCAGGAGATTAAGTAAAAATTCATATTCTTACATAATTTAAAATTTTTAGTCTGAATAGTGTATTTGCTTTGATAAATATAAAAAATATTATTAATTAATTATGAAAGAATCAACTATTTATCGCATAATTTATGTCAGAATTTTTAAATAAAATTATAGTTTTTTTTTATTTTTATGTTAAATATAAAGAATTAAAAAACACTTCTATAATTCTAATATAAAAAATATATATATTTATTATCTATATATTTTTATTTGTGCACGCACTAAAAAAATATCTATTTTACATTATGCACATATATTGCTCATAATGTAAATAACTGTTATAAATGAAACAAAGGGGGAAATATAATCTATTGCACATTACAGTGTATGTTTCCTATAATGAAAAAGGTATATACTATTTAAAATTAGATACGTTTGGTAATACTTCCATTTTAATATCCATATCCTATAAGCAAATAATAACATAAAATTAATAATATATGAAAGCTTAATCATTTAAGAGGTTATGAAAATAGAATACTATTTTATTTTCTTAATACTTAACATCAATGTAAGCCTAAATATTAGCTTTTATTAAAACAATATGTACATATAAATAAATATTTTTAATAAATTGTAAAAGGAAATAAATCAAAATGAATTCATATTTCATATATATATTTATATTTATTTATATGTGACATTTAATAAGAAAGATATGCATATAAATACGTTACGAAATTTATTTATTACATAAATAGAAATTATATTTCATTAAATATTATTAGTAACTAAGATATTATATCAATGCTATGCGTTTAAATATTATACGAAACTAATGGTTCTTCTCTTAACATTATTATATAATATCTTTTTTATAGAAATATTTTTAACATTAGATTTTTACATGAATAACTTCTCTCATTATAACATATGTTTAAAAATAAAATATATTTATATTTAAAAATTTATAATGAGCACAAAACTTTAAAAATATTTCTTTTATAATTTAAATTATATAAATAAATATAAATCATATGAATATAAGTTTTATTTTGAAGAACTTATCTCACAATCGCATTGAGTTAAAACAATATAATTACTTCTTATTAATTTGTATATGTAAAGAACAATGGGGAACTCAATTTCTCAGACCAAGGAAGTATAATTCTCTTTTATATCATAATTAATACTATCTTTTTTTAAAAAATATTCTTACTTGTGTAAACAAAATATTTTTTACATTTTAAAAATATTCACCTTAATTTTTACATATATCATAACTTTCATTATTAGTACAATTTTACGGATATATTTCCTATATGTATGGAAACTTTTAATAATGATAAATCACATGAAAAATTAAATTCACGTATTAAATATGATGGTGTGTGTAATGTTCTAATTAAGGAAATAGGAAATATTGGCTACGCGTTTAAATCTACTTGTATGGATCTTAGTCTATATTTAGAACATATAAATAGTGAAAATATTGAAAAAAAAGAAGCATGCTGTAAGTATTTTAATTACATATTAAAAAATGAATTAGAATTATTAAATGAATATTGTAAAGGAGAAAAAAACTGCTACCAAAAAATGATAAATATAAACCATGAAAAAATAAAAATACCTAATGCATGTGGCAAATATATTATTGATCTTAACGATGAAACATTTAAAATATTTCAGAAATTGCAAGGCATATATAGTTATTTTGAATTAGTTAAAAGTAACAAAGCCTCCGATTATTATGATCTAATTGCTCATATATATAATGAACTTATATCATTAAATATATATTGGAATAATAAAAGTCTTAATGATACATTGGAAATATTTAAAGAGTTATATAACCAACATAAGATATCTGGCTCACCAGGTTTAGGTGAAACGGAAATCTTATATTCCCATTCTATGATATATGTACATAAGGCTATCATTGGTTCATCTCTTTCGGTAGTTTTCCTATTAATATTTATATCTATTCTATATAAGGTTAAAAATAAATTTATATATGTTATAAAATATTAAAATTTATATTATAAATTATTATAGAATTAAAATGTAAAACAAATGAATTAACCAATATAATATAAGTTTATTTATTTATTTTCAGTATTCTAATTATTTATCATACATGCGACCAAATGTAAAAAAGCTAAAGGCCCTATGGGAAAAAAGAATACCTAAATTAAATAATTCATTTAATACAGAATACAAAAATGCAACTGATTATTGTTATCAAATATTATATAACACCGCATAATACTAATAAATCTGTAAAATGATTTAATAAATAACAATTATATATTTTTAAATAATATGCTTGAGAAAAAATAATATTTTTGAAAAAAAAATAATAAATTGTATAGAAATAAATATGATAAAATAATATATTGATTTAAAAAGTTGATATATGTCGTTATAGCAAATGAAATAGCTATTTTGAAAATTTTTGGATTAAATCAGCTACAATTGTAGACATTATCAAATTCAGGATTTAACAAAAAAAAGATAAAATGAAATTTATTAATAATTAAATTAGATAACTATCATATGAGCGAATAATAAATATACATATATATTTTATATAAAACATCATATATATAATGTAATAATTGCTTATATTATACAAGTAAAATAAAATAATAGGTTTGATTTCTTCATAGTATACAAATATTAGATAATATATTTGTCAGTGAAGTATAGGAAATTTATTCATAAAAATGAATTCTCTATTGAATTGTAATACTATAAAAAGCACATTATACTATAATATTATAAAATATAATGAAAAAGGTATACTTTTAATTTAAAGGTTATAAATATATAATAGACATGTTTATTTATTGTTATGCACACAGAAATTCATATATCCATATTACATTAATTAAATTTTATACATGATATATTCTAATAACTAAAAATATAAAAGAATGTTTGAAAATTTTTCACAATATGAATGTATTCTGAATTTATGAAAGGAAGTATTAATTATTTAAGTAATTATTTTTCATAAGAATATATTATCATATACAAGTAGTAAAACAATATTGATTCATTTATTTTTTTTTTGCAATGTCTTCATTATGATGTTTAAATATATTTATTAAAATTAATTCTTTTTTGGAAAAAATATATATGTTCAATTAATAGAAGTAAAAAAAATTTATAGGAATATTTCTATTGCATATATAATGTTTTTTTGTTATTTTTTTATTTTATGTATATGTCCTAGAGCTGGATCACATAGATATGTTAAAAAATATAGCTGTAAATGTTGCACTTATATGTAATAATCAGCATGAATATAATTAATTTGGTCAACATACACTTAAAAGTATCATATATTAAAAAAAAATGTAACATAATAAAAATCTCTACGAAATCACTAATATATAATTATATATATATATGTAGATGCCATTTTTTGGACAATTATATATTAATTGATTATGTTAAAATATAAAAAAATTTTATGGAATTGTATTATTAAAAATGTTTAGAATACAATATTAATATATACGGGAATAAAATATAATTAATATGAATATTATAGATAAATACAATCATAAATTAATTACACTAATGTGAAATATTTTTACAATTTTATTTTATAACAATATTTCTTTCTTTCTGTCTCATCGGTTACATGTCTTACTAATAATTTCTATTTTTATACATATTTCTCCTCACATATAATCATTTTATATAGTAACATGTTTTATTTCAATCTATTTTTTTATAACCAACTCATACACTTTCATCAAATATATGTATTTTTTATCATATGTGAATTTTAAACATAATTATAAATTTATTTGTTTCATCTCACTATTCAATTTGTTATTTATATAATTAATAATATTATATATATTTTAAGATATGTACACCTATAAATATATTTAAAAAGAAAATCCAATTCTTATAATATGAGGTTCATATATATTATGTAAAAATAAAACTATAATAATCACATTTTTTAAGGGTTATTACATGCAGCAATATCATATTCTATATATATTAGATATAGACAAATATTATTAGAACGATTATTTAAAATTTTACCCTAGGATTTATCCCTTTTTTTAAGACAATTAAATCCATACCAATATTTAATATATGAATGTTTTATATATTAACATAATAAACTATGATATTTATAATAAACCTAATTAAATATATGTTATTTTATTTCTGTTCTCCATATATATTTTATTAATATATTTTTACAATATTTATATAAATAAGTAATTTGGCGTTTATAAATTAGATATAGTTTGTTACAGAATATGTAAGAATTGAATGTAATGATAATAAATTTTCATTAATCTTTTTTTCCTAAATTTTGTATATACACATTATAATTGCTTAATATATATACATATATAAAAATCATGAATGAACTCTATAAAAATACATATGTGCTAAATATTGTTTATATACTTGATTCTATTAAAATATGAACTTATTATATTTAAATGAATATATGCATAAATTTAGAGCTCTACATAATGAATTAATATAACTAAGTATTTTATAATTTTAATGAGGCAGCTATATATAAATAAAAATATAACAAGTATAAAGTCAAGATATCAAAAACTGATATAGAAGAATAATGAATCTTACACACAATATATTGTTAATTAAAAAGTACTTATATTTTACAATATAATAAATTATTTTTAATGATTAATTCAGTAAATATTTATCTAATCCAATAATATATTTGAATAAGTGTGAAAGGATAGAGATAATTGAAAATTTTGTAAATTAAAAAATTATATTTAAATTTATTTTCATAAATATGTATTAGTATATATAATGCATATAATAAAATTACCTTTTTAAGTGTAAGCAATTTCTTTTTTATACTACGTTTGCCTTTATATAAATTTATAAACATAAAATATAATATTTTTATTGTACAATAAAAAATAATGATATATAAGGCACAGTTTTATTCTTTTCGCATAATTTTTATCTAGAAATTTTAGAATATTTTTTTTATTGAACTCATTAATTCTAAAAAAATTTATTTTTTTCTTTATATATATAATTGATATATTATAGCAATAATTATTTATAAAGCAAATGTATGATTATTAAATATAGTGATACAAACAAGTTATTTTTTTTATATTATATTTATTTTGTGACAAACCTATATTAATTTTTTTTTATGATGTTCTTTATTCACTAGGTTACATGATTATTATGAATTTTATAAAAAATATAATACTGTATTCATTTATATATGTATATTTTTATAATATTTTTTGCTATTTTAATGAATGCTGGACATGTGCATAAGCCTATTTTACTTCATATTATTTACATAAATTCGTTAACCATATATTATAATTAATTAAATTATTCATTGTCTAATAAAGCTTAATTAACATTTTCAACAAAGAAAAAAAGTGTTATTGCTTTATATTTTTAAAATAATTATTATATATTTCTTTTATTCACTTATTTATAGGTATTATAACTTCAAAGCAAATTCAAGACACATTTATTTCAAAATATAAAATACACACCTATTATAATATCTACTCATTTACAATATAAATCTAAAAATCATAAGAAATTACATAAATATATGATCAGAGATTTAGCTTTCTATTATATTATAAAATAAAATTTTTTTTTAAATTTTCCTTCAAATTATTACTTAATATAATGAGTTTCCTTCATCATATACATTTGGTATTTGTTGTGTTGAGAAAAATATATGTCTTCAAATCGTCATCTACGTAAATATTTTGCTAATATTTATCATATGTATTTTTTGAATTTATCTAAATTGTTTTCTACATTATGTATGAATAATAAACCATAAAAATTATTAGTTAACATGCATGTATTGTACAAATGATAAATATTGTGATAAACATATAAAAAATATATATTTTTATTAAATAATTTAATAGATAAATGTATATCTAAGTAAAATTTTAATATTATTTTAATATGTATTATTATATCAAGATTTATTGTTTATATAAACAAAAAAAGAACACATATAATATTGTGTTAATAATATAAAAATTACAAGAATATTACAGTACATATTGTGATAAGTAAAAACTTCTACGTAATTTAAATAGCCTGTAATATATGTTAAATAATATAACATAAGAAATAACAAAAAATGAATGATATTTAAAATGTTAGAGTACATATGAAATTTAATTACAACTCCAGTGTAGTGATTCACTAAATTAAACTCGCAAAAAATGTTGCCTTTAGTAAAAAACAAATATAACAAAAATTTATTTTTTAATATGTATTCTGTTTTATCTAGTTTTTATCAGTGAAAAAGAATAATAAATTGTATATACGCATTAATATTATTATTAAATGTGCTCCAATGTTACATTTTTATGTAGAATGTAATTTTTTCCGTTAAAGTTAAAAAATTATAGTAATGAAATCATATTCCTGTGTTATTTATATTTTTACATAACAGCATATAATTATTTATACTTGTCATATTGTTAATTAAAGAATTTAATTATATTTAATATTAGTGTATTTTAATAGATGCATAATAAATGCAAAAATGTCTGTTCAATGTATATATAATTAAAGAAATAAATCTGAATGATAAAATCTGTAATGTATTATAATGTTATATTTTTAGGAGTTAGCATTTAACATTACCAAAATAATATCATACACTATTCTTTTAATTATAACATATGTATAATTTGTAAATTTATACCCACATATAAGACATAATAATTAAAATTCTTCTATATTGAAATATGATTAATGAAAATTTTTGCATATTTTATATTTTATCACATATAGAATATATTAATCATTTCAAAAAAACAAATTATAATATCTTCATTCATAAAAGTTGATATAGAACAAAAAAGATGCTTGCAATTATAATTGCGTAACTTTAAAAAAATAATTAAATCATAATCCATATAAAATAAAAATATTACCAATTAAAATATTTAATCATCATATTTTTAAGCATGTGCGACATATTATTTCAATTATTTTATCATTTTAATTGTATGGTCCTAATACAGAATGTTTATGAAGCATATATATAATTCTCCATATGCAAAGGAGTTATAGCAGGTAAAAAATATAATATATATAATTTGTAATACAACCATACAAAATAATAAATATCTTATAATTATTAAAATAAAGAATTCTTAAACATATATTATATTCTACAAAAGGATGAAGAATACTTTTATAATTATATGCTAACGTTTTACCAAGAAAAATACA